GAAACGGTGCAATTTTCCCATCCGGACCAGGACTACAGTTGCTCAGCGACGTCCGGCGGATTATGATGAAAAGCTGGCGAGCTTCCACTCCTTCTGCAGCAAACACATCGCTGACAAAGTCATCCAGCCAAGCCACATCACCAACATGGACGAGGTGCCGCTCACTTTCGACATCCCGGTGAATCACACCGTGGAGAAGAAGGGGACCAGCACTGTAGCGATACACACAACGGGGTATGAAAAGGCGTCGTTTACTGTTGTGCTTGGCTGCCACGCAAATGGACAGAAACTGCCGCCTATGGTGATTTTTAAGAGAAAGACTTTGCCTAAAGAGACTTTTCCAGCTGGAGTCGTTATTAAGGCAAATGAAAAAAGGCTGGATGGATGAGGAGATGATGAAAGCGTGGCTGAGGGAGGTGTATGTAAGGAGACCAGGTGGTTTTTTCCACGCATCACCATCTCTGTTAATTTGTGACTCCATGCGTGCCCATCTGACAGCCGATGTGAAAAACATGGTGAATCAAATGAACGCTGTGCTCGCCGTTATCCCGGGGGGTCTGACAAAGGAACTTCAACCGCTCGACATCGGTGTGAAGCGGCCGTTCAAAGTAAGGCTGCGAGCGGCGTGGGAGCGATGGATGACAGACGGAGACCACAGTTTCAGGATAAGTGGAAGGCAGCGCCGGGCAAGTTACGCCACCGTTAGCGGATGGATTGTAGATGCTTGGACTAATGTGTCTGCTGGCTCTGTTGTTCAAGCTTTCGCAAAAGCCGGCATTATTTCTGAGGAGCCGCGCGGCACGGAAAGTGACTCTGACAGCGAAGAAGGGGAAACTGGCATGTCTGATTTAGCGCAGCTGTTTAATTCAGAAACAGAGGATGATGACTTTGATGGGTTTGATTAAAACTTTGTAATAAATACATGAATAAAGCACAAACATACTAGGGCTGGGCGATAATTTAATAACGATATATATCGATCGATAGACGTGTGGCGCAATAGAAAAAAAGAGAGTCGATAAAAGTTCGATAAAAAGAAACGCAGTTTTCCTTCCTTCTCATTGTAGCCTAGCATGTAGGTTTATGCTAGTCACTGCATCCTCCCAACCAATCACAATCGCGGACCCAGGCACGACGTCACCAAGCGCCGCCCTCTCAAACCACAACACAGAGCACACGAAGATGCAGCAAGGAGAGGCGGAGGAAATTGTTTCAAAGAAGGGTTTTTGTAGTTCGGCAGTCTGGCAGTATTTCGGTCATGGCAAGTCGGACCAAAAACAAACCACAGTCATCTGGAAAATGTGTCGGGAACCAGTGAAAACCAAGTCTGATAACGAAACCAACTTTTTTTTTTTTTTTTTTTTTTTTTTTATCATCTCAGCCGCTCACACCCGCAGGAGTACGAGCTGTGTAGGCCCCGCCGCGGCTCTCCTCCGAGGAATCTTCGGAAAATATATATATATTTTCAGTTCTGGGCAGTTTCCCACGTAGTTCTAACAATTGAGATAAAAATGCTGAGGGGCCTGAAACTTCAAAGTAATAACTCAGGTTAAAGCAGGAAAGGGGGGCGGCGGCGGCGGCGGTGGGGGGGCATTTATTTATTTGTTATATTTATTTTGGTCACTTTAGTTTATTCTTTGTCAGTATTTAATAACATAACTCAGGTCTCTTAAGTTATTTTTCTTTAAAACAATTCTGTTATGGTTAAAAAAGTTGGTTAAATAAAGATTTAATTCGAAGTCTGTGTTTGTGTTCTTTACTAAAATTAAATCATTTAGCAATATTATAAAAAGTCCAGGCAGAGCTGCACATAAAATATGGTTTCAAATCTTTTCAATAATTATCGATATCGATCAATATGCATTTTTTTTTTATCGATAAGCTTTTTTTCTATATCGCCCAGCCCTTAATCATACTCAGTTTTGCTCCCGCTCTATTTTTCTACCTGAAAACTTAATTCAACAGCAGCCTCTGGGCGGGTCTCCTCCTCTTCACCGCGGCGGCTGGCAGGTGTTTTTCATCTAAATAATCTAAATCTTGCAGCTATATTTGCTGTGATCAGTGGGAATAAAGTAGTTTTAATATGTTTTTAAGTGAGAAAGGCCACCTGAAAACTTAATCATTGCAGTCAGTTCATCCAGATTATCATCCTGCCTTCTAATATTATTTCTGTCGGAGCCGCTCAGACCCCCACATACCAGCGGTGCGCCGACAGCAGGAATCCCTTCAACAGCAGCCTCTAGCCGGGTCGCCTCCTCGCGGTTCACCGCGGCAGCTGGTAGGTGTTTTTCATCGAAATAATCTAAACCGCAGGAAGCAGGATAATAAAAGCCAATATATTCTGTCGGCAGGTTTTAAGTTAATTTATGCGTCAATAAACTGTATCAGAGGAGTAATCACAGCGCTGTGTCATCAGCGATGTGTCTCTCACGGCCAGCTCCCAGGTTTGATTAATACTTTGTAATAAATACACCTTGCAGCTTTATTTGCTGTGATCAGTGGGAATAAAGTAGTTTTAATATGTTTTTAAGTGGGAAAATCCACCTGAGAGGACATGTACCTGTATATAAAAAACACGCCCTATAGTCCGGTGCGCCTTATGTGTGTGTTAAATACAGAAATGGCACACATAACTGAGACTGCGCCTTTTAGTCCGGTGCGCCTTATGGTCGTGAAAATACGGTAGGTACTCTGCATAGGTGTTGCAGTGAACGCAAAAACGTCCCCGCCCCCTCTGCTTCACCTCTCCCAAATTGTAGCTGACCGCAGACAGGAGGCCGGCTTGTTTTGTTTTATGAAGGCAATTGCAGAAAACAAGTAGTGAAGTTGGACCAGCTAGAAGAGCGAGGTGCTCGGGAACGCTGGGACCCCTTTTCCACACGGATGCCCGCTCTTTTGGCCCTCATGGCCCTCCGTTTTCAGACATATTTGCCCCAACTTCATCCTCGCCTCGGCCGTATCTACACCCACAGCATATAGCACAGACCACACTAAAAACTGAGCATACTGCTGCAGGACGATAACCAGCCATTAACTCCAGACATCCTGATTAGGGCTGCAACTAACGATTATTTTAAAAATCGATGAATCGGCCGATTATTTTCTCGATTAATCGATGAATCAGACAAAAATATTTTTTATATTAACCTCTTTATTCCAAAATAAACATTTTAGACAGAACAAACAAGCACACAAGTACAGGTTGCTCATTAACTGTCCTGGTGCAATATGAAAAATAAATGTTTGTGATAAAACTACGCAAACTTACATGAGAAATGTAGCTGTACATCCACAAAATATAGGCTACTTTGTTTCATAAAGCGCAAAAAAAAACATTTTTGTTTTTAAAGCCTCTAAGGGGTTCAAACAATAGCCCCCCCCCATTTCAACAAATGAGTTTTTTATAGACTAGAAGAGTTCTGCCTTTTAAGACAGGAAAGTATAGCAGTTAAAGTTGCTACTTGAGAAAATACTGAACCATAGAGATAAAAATAGCCCTGTGATTCAAATTATAAATTGTATTTGGAATAAAAATGAGAGAACTAGGGGTGCTAAAAAACACATCCTCCAAAGACAGATATTTACATGGGAATGTGGCAGATAATTAATTGATATATTACTGATCTTGCTGGATTTTATTCTGCTTTACTTCCATAAATTGCAGGATCTTCTTTTCTTTATCTTTGCCAGAAGATTTAAACTTTAAAAGCCTTGCCCTCATAATTTGCAAGTTAATTTATTTATAAAGAAAATATAAACGCTGCTTAAGCTAATTCAAATGAAATTAAAAGTAAAATAAGTAGCCAACCTTATCACTGTCTGTAACCTACTAACAAGGTAAGGAAAGCATCAGATGAGCTACCTGAGAAACTAACGTTACGTTTCCCCACTTTAAAACCAAACAAACATGGTGGTTCCGCGCCATGTTAATTTGTTTTGACAAAAGTTGCATGTTACGACTTTTTTCACTTTACAAAGCGCAGGCTATTTTAATTATTGTGATCAATTTGCGCCGTCAATCCCGGCGCATGCGCGCTTCATTTGCAGTCTGGACGCTGAGGGTAAACATCCTGAGGCTCTGACTGCAGCGCTGAGAGGGACTCCTGCGGGAGAACGGGGTTGGGATGGGGGAGGCGTTTCAATCAAGTGGCAGTGATGAGGACGGCGGCGGGTGACGCAATAATCGCGCGACACAACTAATCGATGATGAAATTCGTTGCCAATTCTTGTAAAAGTCGATTTTTATCGCTTTTATCGATTCATTGTTGCAGCCCTAATCCTGAGTAAGACTAAACACTGTATAGTAAGCAGTAAAACATTTACTCAGTTTAACCATGAAAACACCATCCCATATATCTATAAATGCAGTTCTAGATATATGTGATTTAGTTTTGGCAAAATAAAATCTAACTTAACACATCCTGAGTAAGGCTTAACTCCGTATGGCAAGCAATAAAACATTTAATCATTTAGTTTAGTTGACACTTGAACCTTTTTGGTAAAATCATATATTTAAGCTTGCCATACTGTGGATGTGTTGATGGTTAACTGATTGGTTAAAGCAGTGAGAATCAATGAAGAAGTTCCGATTTTTTATTTTCCATTCAATTTAGCTTCCCTTTCCCCCTGTGCTTCGCTAAAACTCGCTGTTAGCACCGCTGTCTGTTTGGTTGCTGCTGAACAGTCCTCTATGCAGAAAACCAACGTTCCCTCTGAACGCACCTCATCGCTGAAGGACCAGGAACGCGTTGCCTACGGCAACCAGTAGCCTTGACCTCCATTAATGCTAAAGCCTCCTTTCCGGCGTGAAACCGGTTCCACCCTGATGAAAACAACCCGTCTTTAATCCAAACCAACAGAGAAGCACGGTGGAGGCAGGTTCATGCTGCGGTACTTCCTCCACACCTGATCAGATCCACTGTGAGAACAGAACCAGAATCCGGACCGGCACCATTCAAACATGGACCCGGTTCCGATGGGTTCTAGGTGGTTCTACTCACATCCGGCTTGCTTCTGGGTTCTCTGCGTCAGGCTCCTCTTGTTCTCTAAAAAGAAAAAGGGGAGAAAATGGGTCAGAACTGCGCAGAGCGCTATGTTGACCCGCTAGCGGATCGGTTCGGTGGTACCGGTCCGCCCCGCTCGTCCCTCCACAGAGCTGGCCGGGTTAGCTGCCTGCTCCTCTGCTGCCATTGTCAGAGCGGTTAGCCCTCCCACCGCTGACCCAGACAGCTGAGACATTTGGACCGAGCCGGTTCGGTTCGGTCCGGTCCAGCTGCCCCGCATTCAGACCTGATCTGGTCAGAAACTGTGGTGTTTAAAGCTGAGCAGCTAAAAGGAGCGCAGCGGCTAGCCGCGGCTAATGCTAAGCGGCTAGCCGCCGCGCTCCGGCCGGCCGGCCCGCTCCGGGCTCTCCGCTCTCGGCTTCCTCACCTCGCAGCTCCTCTGGCGGCGCTCGTCTCGGCCTGTGGTGTCGCACACTCACAGTCCTCCTTCTCGTCGGAACTCATACGAGACTTTCTCCTCCGTGGTTTGAGATCTGCTTTGCTGCCCGCGAGCGTGTCGAGCCTCTTCCGGGGGAACGCGGTGGGTTTAAGGCCACTCTACGGCGCTGCGTGGGTCCCGGGCTTCATTCACGGCCTTCTTCTTGCTGCCTCAGAGACGCCGCCATGTTGGGTTCGCCGTTAGCCAGCATCCCACAATGCACTGCGCTCCAGCGGCGGGACATGCTGGCCTGGATCAGGACTCCAGGAACCGGACTGATCTGGTCCTGATCCGACAAACCTCCGCGGATCTTCACAAGCAGAATAGAACACATTCATTTTAACATTAAACTCATTCAAATCTATTTTAAATAAATTAGCAAACCTCAGTTAGTCATTCCTAACAGCAGCTGGTGTTTAGCTGCTGCTCTTTACTGCTTTAAATCAGCATCATTACAGAGCTGCCAACTATTCACCAAAGCTTGGGCTGAGATTTAGACAGCAGCAGCTGTTAACTCAACAAAATGATTAATTTTAATAACACAGTAAATGTTAATGAATAACAATCAGTGATCTGTAGTTATATGGAACATTTTCCACACAATATACTTTATTTTCTATATTCTGGTGATTTTTAGAGAATTAAAGTAAAGCAGAATGGACCAGACTAAAATACTAGCATCTTAAATATACTTTAAACTAAGAATTTACAAAACTGTGTTTATTAATTATTCTCTGCAGTCCTAGTAAATTAAACAACTAGCTACTAATGAGCTATTACTGGATTACTGGCACTGATACAGGAACCAGAGCAAACTAGAGTATGAATATATGGCAATAGGCTAAGGATTAAACATCTTAACTCATTATCTATTTAGGTTTTTTTTTACAGCTGAGAAAACAGCTAAAGTAGTCAGACCTCCTTAGAGCCAAAGGTTCCTTAAAGAAGATGTTTTTACCAGATTAAACCAGGTGAAGCTGAAACTTTTCCACCTCAGGAGTTCTGAGCAGATTAACAGATGGAAAATGGTTTTTATTTCAAATGCTAAATGTTTTCATATTTGTTTTGCAGTCTTGGTCTAATTCCTGCTCTAAGTGGGTCGCTCTGTCAGCTAAAGGCATGATTTAGAGTCTATATACTCCAGTTAATGATTAATCCATGACTAAATTAGTTGACTATTATTTCAATAATCGATTAATCGGATTAATTGTTTCAGTCCTGGTAGACTCTATAAAAACTCTCCATGACAGGAGGCAGCACTTCATTATAGAAACTCTGATGGACAATTTTAAACATATTTAATGGACCAAAATAAGTTTAAATCAATTAGATAAGTAATAATAAAATGAGATCATCACAGTGGTTCCTCCTCTATCAATCCTGGATAACTGAGTTATTCTGCACATCCTCTCTGTGTCTGATGCTGTTGGTCTTTTCTTAGGTGGCTGATCTTTTGAAAAATAAAATACAATAATTATTTTTCATATAAGTCAGTTATCTTAGTCCAGATAAGAAAAGGATAAGATAAAAAATCCAACGTCATACCTCATAATGACTGCTCAGAAATCTGTATACAGTATCAGGTCCTTCAGGTTCAGCACAGTGAACAGGTGGGCTGGTGCAAAAATATGGACTGGATCTGAACCTGGCATGTCCCTAGCACTAAGGCTGTGTTAAAACAAGGACTGGATTTTAATCAGCATGGTATTTTTTACATATAAATAAGTGGAATGGAGTTGAGGTTTAATGTCTGTCTTATTTATAGAGCAGGGGCGTTGCCAGAATATTTATATGCGGGTGGCCAGGCACCAGCCCCTCCTGGTCAATCTTTACCGTTCCCAGGGGGGGGGGGGGGGTTACCATTATTGCCTAGAGCCTACCATAAATGGTTGGTTAAAACAACTATTCCTTATTTGTGCACTTTAATTATGTTTTTGATAAAAATGCCATCAGAATAATATTAAGTGTGTCTCAGCCCCCCCCTTCAGTGTCCACCATATTGGATCAGTCCATTTGCTGCACATGTTCAGAAAGGTCCAAACAGACAGCAGCAAACCATTTGAAAACAAACCATGCAAAGAGCAGTGTTGCCAACTTAGCGCTTTAGTCGCTATATTTAGCCACTTTTCAGACCCCTCTAGCACTTTGATTTCTAAAAAGCTCCTAGCGCCAAATCTAGAGACTTTTTTCTGCTACTGGAGACTTTGGAGACAACATCTAAAAGCAGCGAACTCTGCTCTCCAGAGCGAGTAGATTGGTAACCCCGCCTCCTGCTCTCCTCTATCTTGTCTGCTGTCATGATTCATGCAGCTATTATTTCATCCAAATGAAAAATGGAGAACAGATAAGCAGATCATGGCTTGTCTACAGTGAAAAGAAGGACTGGGTTATTTACTTTGGCCTTTTTGGAAACACAGGAAGGAGCAATCAGCTAAGTGAGCTTAGTGCTTGGAAAAAAATCTTTCATTCCTTTAGAGACAGCATGAAAAGTCAGCTGAGTATAAAACATAGAGAGGAAAACAAGAAGAAAAGGGACAAGAAGAGAGGGACACAACCTAGAACAGATAATGGATGTCTATTCTATTAACATTTCTACATCTGGAGAATGGGGCTGTTCTATGTCTTCTCCATTCAGAGGGCCCCCTGCCTGTCTTTGCCTAGGGCCCCACATTTCCTAAATCCGCCCCTGCTGGTCAGTCACACCCTGGGGTGAACATTCATCTATTGTTATTTCTTTGCTGCATTTCTGGAAAAGAAAATGTCCATGATCATTTTATCAATAATTATTCATTATTATTGTGTTATTTTTACATGTACTAATGAAATTAATTTAGTTCTTATTTGATGAAGACTCTTAAACGCCCTCGGGACTCTGGCTGGTGCTTCATTTCCTGGTCATCACGCTGCCGTGCGTTATGCAGATGTTAGGCTGTCGTTGGACAGAAGTTCTGCAATCCACTCTGTATTCGCCCAGAATGGAGGAAATCCAGAGAGAGTTGAGCGTATTCCAGCGTTTAGAAGATTCTGGAATGTCAGGCAGACGCTGGAGGGACAGGGACCTAAAATAGTAGAAGCTAACAGATCCACGAACCAAAAGAAGCTAATTATTTATTATTTTAAATGTTCTTTTTCATTTGGCATTTAATTAAATATTTTAACATTTAATTAATCAAACGACACTGTAAAAAAATGTCCGTAGATTCAAAGTATAAAGTAATGAATTTATTTGAAGAGATCAGTTTTTATGGATATTTTTTTAGAGCTATTTAGGAGAGAGTTCTGACAACTGCACTGATAGCAATAGGCAACATTTTAGAGTAAAATACACCAGGAAAAACTTCAGCAAAGAAAAGAAAACAATAACAACTGTTTCTAACCAAATAAAATTTGTAAAAAAAAAATAAAAAACACTATAAAATAATTTTTTAACAGATTTTTTATCAGTAAAAAAAAAAAGAAAAAAAAAAACAATAACTGTTTTTAAACCAAAAAAATCTGTTAAGAAAAACAATAAAAAGTTTCTTTTAACCAAAAAAAAAAAAAAAAAAATTTGATTAAAAGAAACTTTTTCTTCTCTTTTTACAGATTTCTTTTCATACTCAGAATTTAAACTTCTAAAAATACTTTAATCCTGTTCAATAAATGATTTTAATTCAGAGTCATTTTCATGTGAATGTGCTTTACTGGAGGCATCCATGTTTGTCAAAGAACACTACTGCCCGACGCTCTGATGCGATCTACCTGCTCACACTCTACGTCTAAAAACCAGGTGGGACTCAGCTCCGCAGTGAGATGGCGCTACTCGGACTCGTCTATCCGGAAGCCAAACCAGTAGCAGAGGAACATGAAGCTCACTAGAGTGAAACGCGCTGCCTTGGATATTTGGACAATTTGGTGCTGAAAGCCCTAAAAAGAAAAGCAGACGACGTATTTGGACAAAGACATGGCTGAGCTAACGTGGCTACTACGGTCTGACAGTTTGACAGAAAGAAATTCATGTCACTCATTGCCCCCCCGCCATGATGCTGGGTTTTCCTCAGAGAAGAAGAAGAAGATTAAGTATTTATTATGTTGGGTTAAGTAAAAAAGTATTTATAAATAAATACCTAAAAGTTTTTAGGTATTTATTTATTTATTTGGTTTCTGGGGTGAGTCGTTTCCTGTTTCCTTGCTTTACTCCATATCAGTTGGTCGGGGTGATGCACATCTCACTAGTTTGCCAACCACCATAAAACCTCACAAGAAGAAGAAGAAGAAGAATCCTTGTTTGCAGACTGAGAGATTTGACCCCGACGGTCGGGAGAAAATCAATCATGTTTGATTTTCTCCCGACCTCAGGATTCCTGATGTGGGGTGGTCATTAGAGGCTGATCGCCGCTCGTAACCCCCTGCACGCTACACGACTCACAACGCACGATCAGGCTGAAAGTCGGCCCGATTGAAAGATTACATGACTAGAATATCGCCCCTAATATCGCACAGTGTTCGCCCGGCTTTAGTGCGTTAATAAAAACTGACCCAACAGTATTTCAATGACAGCCTCAAACAAAAGCTTCTGCTTTCCAAATACTGTTGGGGAGATTTTTATGGATTCTTTAAAAAAAAAGTTAAAGAAATCTTTATTTTAGCCATGATGAAAACGACATGAATGAGGAAAATGCCCAGAAGATGTCAGGAGGGAGGTGTTACCATATTTGGGTGAAAATGGCCGCTCCCAGACTGATCGCGATGAAAATGATTGTTTTTATTCTTTAACTGATTAACGCTAAATTTATTGAATCAGTGAATGTATTAGTTTTAGGTCTAAATAATGATCCTTTAACAGACGCTTCTGTCGGGAGGTTGAACCTTTGGCTCCTGATGCACATTATAAATTTAACAGGCAGTCAGCGAGATAAAAAAAAAGCATTTTTAATAATCACAGGTGGTAAAAGCGTCAGGATCAGCAGTGGGAGACATTACAGGCACAGTTCTATGTTACCTGGATCAGTGCTGAGCTTAGAAATCTGAGTCCAACAGCCACACATATTAGGTCCTTCTTTAGCTGAAACAGAAGCCACAGTTTGGAGTAAACATGATGTGATGTAGAGTCTCTGATGATGACGGAGCGGCGGACGAGGAAGAGCACGCCTGCCCTGACCCGGCGCCGTTCTGTCCCAGTGTCCCTACGCCTCAGAGACGACAACGACCTGGACTACAGAGAGGAGGT